GCAAGCCACAGTGGCTGGTTGGGTAGGAGCGGTGAAGAGGGAAGAGTATATAGGATGACACCTTGGTTTCTGGCTTGAGTACCTAGGTAGGTAATGGTGCCGTTAGCTGAAACTGTGACCTCAGGAAGACAAACAGGTCTGAAGTGGAAGATCATGCCTGTGGCTTTAGATATGGAGAATGTTTTGCTTACCTATTGCTATGTAACAAACGACCCCTAAATGTAATGATTTAACACAACCATTTTGTGTTTCTCATGATCCTGCAAGCTGAGCTGGGCTCAGCTGGACGGTTCATCTGCTGGTCTTGCTACTTGTCACTTGTGTGACTGACAAGTTGATGGATCAGCTGTGGGCTGGACTCAGCTGGGATGCTAGGGACAGCTGTGTTTCTTTCTCTCCATGTGGTCTCGCCAGCAGTCTCTCCATGGTTGTTACACGGTGGTTCAGGGCTCCCAAGAACATGAAAGCAGAAGCTTCCAGCCTTTCTTAATCTTCAGCTCGCAACTGACACAATGATGTTTCCACCACATTCTACCAGTTAACAAGGCCACATAGGACTCAAGGAAAGGCAACACAAAGGTGTGAATGATGGGAGATGTTCAGTGGAGACCATCAAGGTAAGTCTATCACAAGGAATTCTTAGGGACCTATGGGACATGCAAGAAAGGATGTCTAGCAAGCAGCTGGAGTCTACAGCCTGGGGATCCAGATGGGGATTAAACATGAGAGAGAATAAAACTGTACTAGGAGAGAAGCGCAGCGGCCACGGGCAGAACCCTGAGATTCTATACCTAGGAAGTGAGCACTCAGTAATCCTCAGAAAGGTCAGTTAGAGAGGTCAAAGCAGAAACAGGGAGAGATTGTATCATGGATGCCAGGGCAGTCGAGTTTCAGGGTATGAGTGGTCGGCAATATCTAATGCAGCAGAGAGCGCCAGAATATGGCTGAAGCATCTATTGGATTTTTCAAGATGGCAGACATGGTGGATAGGGTTTGTTTTTTGTTTTTTTGGGGGGGCGTTCTTTTTTAAAATTTTATTTGTTTAGAGCAGTTTTAGAATCACATCAAAATTGAGGGGATGGTACAGAGGTTTCCCATAAACCTCCAGCCCCTTCACATGCATGCCTCCCCTGTTACCAACATCCCACACCACAATGGTACATTTGTTACAGGTGATGAACCTGTATTGACCCATCATTATCACCGAAGCCCATAGTTAATTTTAGGGTTCACTCTTCGTGTTGTACATTCTATGGGTTTGGACAAATGTATAATGATACGCATCCATCATTACAGTAGCATTCAGAGTATTTTCACTACTCTAAAAAATCTTCTGTGCTCTGAAAGAATGGTTGTTATTGACTGCCCAGAATCCATCTCTTTCTTCAGATTATAATAGTACCTTAATTTTATCCCTCTCTCTCAAAGTCCATGTAGCTAGGAGAATGCTGACCATCTCCCATACACATCACTCCAGAATTGTGCATGTGCCAGGTCTAACCAATAGGAATACTGGATCCGCTGCCAGGCCACACTGATAGATTTAGTGCCAAGCCAATTCTAGATATTTGTATTAAAAATAGTAGGAAAAACACACTCCCTTGCCACTGGTGGTGTTAAGACAGCATTGGGAAGTATGGGCCATGTGGAGTGGGAGGCCAGTCTGTGGGGCCAACCTAGAGACAGCAGGGCAAAGAGGTGGACAGGGAGAGAAAGAGGGACAAACAGTCCCAATGACATCCTTTGGGTCCCTGGATCCCATCGTGCCTGAAGCTACTTCTACCCCTGAACTTTTCTGGTATGAGAGACAATAAACGCCCTTCTTTCCTTGAACCAGGTTAAGCTGGATTTCCCTCATTTGCAATCCAAAACCATTTGACCAACATGGATACTGATTAAAATGCAATGTTGAAAGATGCAAATGTATATTTAAACTAAGTTTTTTTTTTAATTGGCCTAATTATCAAACTTTTTGAGTATGGACTAATAGTGATTCAAACTATTCAAACTGTCTCAAGAAAGTAGGGACTTTTTTTTTTTTTAAAGATTTTTATTGGGGAATTGGGGGGATGGGAACAGAGCTGGAGAATTGGGGAGGGGGAACAGACAAGTTGCTGTCGTTTTTTGTTCTTCAGTCTAGTTGTGGAGGACGTTGCTTCACTGGCCCAAGTTGGCACCATCATTGCGCTCTTCCCGGGCGAGGCAGATCAGTCGCTGGCTTCTGGACGGCCGCTCACTGCGGCTGCTGGCCGCTCACGCTGGCTGCTGGCCACTCACGCTGGCTGCTGGCTACACACGGTAGCCCTTGGCAACCCACTGCCACAGGAGCTGCAGCCTATGCCGTCGCCAGTGACTCATGGCAGCCCAGCTCCAGGTTGAGCTGTTGTTCAGCATCTTAGCTGTGGAGGGCAGTGTCACTGGCCCTCATATGTGGGATCCGAACCGGGGGCCTCTGGTGTCCCAAGCCAGTTCTTAACCATCGCGCCACTCGGCCGGCCCAGTAGGGACATTTTTTATTTATTTATTTTTAAAGATTTTATTGGGGAATTGGGGGATGGGAACAGAGTTGGGGAATCGGGGAAGGGGAACAGACAAGTTGCTGTCCTTTTGTTCTTCAGTCTAGTTGTGCAGGACGTCGCTTCACTAGCTCATGTTGGTATTATCAATGCGCTCTTCCCAGGTGAGGCAGTCAGTCACCAGCCATTGGACAGCCACTTATGGCGGCTCAGAAAAGCGCATGCCAGCTGCTGGCCAACCCCACTACAGCCTACACCATCGCCAGTGACTCAAGGCAGCCCAGCTCCAGGTCGAGCTGTTGTTCACCATCTGAGCTGTAGAGGGCGCATCGTCACTGGCCCTCATATGGAATCCGAACTGGGGCCCTGCTGCTCAGAGCTGGCATCCCAAGCCAACTCCAACTCCCAAGCCAGTTCTTAACCATCGCGCCACTTGGCCAGCCCCTGTATCTTTATAAAAGGGAAATTTGGAGGCAAATACACAGAGAGGGAGAACACCATGTGAAGGTGAAGGAAGAGGTCAAGGTGATGCTTCTACAAGCCAAGGAACACCCAAACTGTTAGCGTACCATCGGAAGCTAGGGGAGAGGCATGGAACAGAGTCCTCACAACCCTCAGGTGGAGCCAGCCCTACCAATACATTGGTTTTGGACTTCCAGCCTCTAGAATATTTTGTTGTTTAAGTCACTCAGTTTTTGGTGCTTTGTTATAGCTGCCCTAGCAAACTAATACAACTACTAAGAACATCTCTCAGAAACAAAATGATGTTCATTCATCCCTTCAAACTCACAAATTAAAGGTCTAGCCAAAAAAAAAAAAAAAAAGGGTCACACAGAAAAAAAGTAAGAAAAATCATATTCTAATTTTGAACAGCTTGAGTTTTGCTGCTAAACCATCTTTAAACTGACTTTGAAAACCAACAAAAAACTATCCTTGCTCATCAATCCATACATTTTCGTTGTACTTTTTCAATAAAATGATAATTTTTAAGACATTAAGGAATCCCCAATCAATTAAAAATTAGTTTATAAATCCTTTTTTTTAAGGGAGAATGTGAAGAGAAAATAAGCTATATCCATTTAACAGATAAGATAAAGGCTCAGCAAGCAAATAATCACTGGCTCTGTATCACCTGATGCCAAATTTTATACTCTAGATACCATTTTTGTGTTCATTCTTTCTACTTTCAATAACAAGGAGCCTGACCAAAGAAACCTCTTGAAAAGCTACTGAATAGACAAGTTTTGGTCTCCCTCTGAGGACACCAAAGAAATGAATGGGAAGGAAGTATTAATAACTCCAAATTATGGCAATTCACTGAGATGAAATTTTGTAACTATTTATTACTAAATGGCTACCATTTCAAATTCCTATATCCTCATATGCTTTATATTCATTGTCTCAATCATAACAAGCCTATGAGGTAGAGTATTTTTTTACTCTCACGTACTTGAGTTCCAAATATATTACATATATTGGATACACACACACACACACACACACACACACACACACACACACACACACACACACACACACACACACACACACACACACACACACACACACACACAGTGCCAAAAAAATGTATACACATTTTAAAAAAGGAAAAAACTGTATTAATTGTAATACTCAATGTATACCAATAACAAAAGATGAATACAAGTCATGTTTGACTTCTGCAATGACAAGAGGTGCTCGAAGTGGTTACCATCAGTGTCCAGACACTTCTGATTATGGCTAACTACTGCTTGAGCATAGATAACATCTCTTAAAATGTCTATATGTGTTTTTGGCACCTCCTGTGTGTGTGTGTGTGTGTGTGTGTGTGTGTGTGCATGCGTGTGTGTGTATCCATACTAACATTCATATAATAGGAAAAATATGTATAAACCTTACAGAAGAAAAGGATGGAATTAATAGATCATGGTGGCAACTGGCTGTAGAGCTTTAGGATACACGTGTTGTATTTGGTAGCACCTTACAAGAACAGATGCTGACATGAAATATTTAACAATAGCAAAAACCTACAGCAAATACAAACCCAAAGATAACACTAGAGTAAGGAAAGTCACCTTTCTTTTAGCACTGGTGTCATTTCACCCACACGATGTGGCCATCTTAGGAAAGTGAGAATCATTAAATAGACCTTCTAGAAACATGTTACAATTCCAAATCTCCAGATTATTGTAATTTATGTAACTATTTGCAATGGATTACCTTTCAGGTTTACCAACGTGTCCTTTGCTTAACGCCATGTAGTGGCTTCCCATTAGACTTGGAATAAAAGTCTTAAGTCCTTACTGTGGCCTTTGTGTCAATCAGCGTCCGGTCAGGAAAACAGAATTTAAAATAGGAAATCCAGGCCTTTTGAGCTTCTTTTGCTTGGCCTGCTCCAAACTCCTTGGAGTGTACTTTCTCTTCTAATAATGGCCCTTGAGCCATTCTCTACTGCCTGGGCCCATTTCTGTTTCTTTGAAATGTATTTTTTCTTCTGATAAACTGTCCTTTTCTGCAACTTTACCTCTCTGGTCTGTGTCTCCATTCTTCGGCTCCACGAGACCACGATCCTGGACACATACAAAATCACACATCAAAAAAATCCTACTTCACATCCATGTTGTAGCAAATAGCACTATTTCATCTTTTCTTATGGCAGAATAGTTTCCATTATGTATATATACCATATCTTCTTTAGCCAATCATCTATTGATATATTATAGAATTGTACATCTGAAACCTATGTAACTTTACTAACCATTGTCACCCCAATTGGTGCAGGCCAAGCAAGTAGCCCCCCACCACACACTGGACCAAAAAAAAAAAAAAAAAAGGCAATCCATCAAACAGGTGGCAAAGGACTGAAAAAGCAAAAAGGCAATATTGAGAGAACTTAATAACAACTTCAGGATGTTATTAAGCTGTTAATAACAGCTCCCACCTCTACCAGTGGAACAAAGAGAACAAATTGGAGTTATCAGAACTAGAAGAATCAGAAGAGGAGCCTGGGAGAGCTGGTTTTTCTCTCTCTAAGAAAGGGTCACCATCACGTTGGTCGGTGTTTCAACAGCTTAGGGGAGGGGCCCTGCAAAGCTGGGGCTCAGATCCCTCAGGAGGGGCTGCTGCTGGTATTTCTGAAGACAGCACATGGAGGCTGGTTCTGGGAGTGTGGATAGAACCTGGACACTGAACCAAATGCCCTACAACAGCAAAGTGTCATTACTTAGGTGACCCTGATAGAAATAACAAGCAAAGAGGCATAAGTTAGTCCCTCATCCCTGCCCCTGCCTTCTAGTCTTCTATTGACACAACCTAACAGTAGCTGACCAAGGAGCAATATGGTTTGTAGCCCGATACCACAGAGCAGGGCAGAGAAAAGTGGATTTGGAGCGGAGAGAGCAGCACAGCCTTCAAGGGCCTATGTGATCTAGCCCCTGCCTGACTTTCCAGCCTGATCCCCTCCACTTTCCCCATCGTATACTCAATTCCAGTTACATTGGGTTTTTTTGTTTTTTGTTTTCTTTGCCAAGCACTCAAGCTCATTTTCATCTCCAGGCATTTGCACTTGCTATTCCCTCATGGGAAAAGTACCTTTTCCCATCGATCTTACACATATTTAGGGTTTAACTTAAAGCCACCAACTCAAAGTGTTTCTCTGACTTCGCCAATCTAAAGAAGCAACCCTCTCCCCCCTCATGCTCTGTAAAATTCCCCATTTTCGCTTTACTCATAGCATTAATCACTATTTTATGTTATCTTTCAAACAGTGGTGTTTTATTTGTTTCTTCCCTTAAAAATATGGGGAAGGATGTATGTCTTACTTGCCACTGTGTTATCCTTGGGGGATCAGATAATGCCAGGTATACGAGGTTGGACAATTAAGTTCGCGAACTCATCCTAGAAAAAGTGCTACATACCTCTGCCGAATATCACTATGGTCCCCTTCGAAGTACTCCCCTTGGGAAGCTATTCATCGACACCAGCGCCTAGTCTACCCTTCAAAGCAATTTTGAAACTCTTTCTCTGGAATGGCCATCAGAGCTGTCATCGTATTACCCTTGATGTCCTGAATGTCATCAAAATGTCCTCCTTTCAATATTTCCTTTATCTTTGGGTAAAGAAAGAAGTCACTGGGTGTTCCGATACAGTGTATTTGTTTACTGGCTAAAAACTCCCTCACAGACAGTGCCATCTGAGCTGGTGCATTGTCGTGATGCAAGAGCCATGAATTGTTGGTGAAAAGTTCAGGCGGTCTAAGCTTTTCACGCAGCCTTTTCAGCACTTCCAAATAGTAAACCTGGTTAACTGTCCAGTTGGTATAATTCATAATGAATAATTCCTCTGATATAAAAAAAGGTTAGCAACATTGTTGCAAAAAGTTTGCAAACTTAATTGTCAGACCTTGTACAGCTCAATAAATGTTGAATTAAAGAATTTAAAATATTTTTTTACATTTTATTGGGGAACAGTGTGTTTTTCCAAGACCCCTCAGCTCCAAGTCAAGTAGTTGTCTTCAATCTAGTTGTGGAGGGTGCAGCTCATGTGGTGATCGAACAGCAACCTTGGTGTTATGAGCCTGTGCTCTAACCACCTGAGCTAACCGGCCGCCCCAAACTAATGAATTTTAGAGAAAGCAGAACTTTCTCTAAAAGCTGGAAGGAACCTTGGGGATCACAGCCCAACTCCCAAATCATTTGACAGCTGGAGAAGTTGAGGGCCAAAGAGCTGAAATGATATGCCATAGCCATAGTGAGCTGGTGACTACTTTTCCCAGTGCTTCTATATACATTACCTTATTTTGCTTTCCTACTTTCCTGGTGCAATGGTAGGGTCCTTGGCCAACGGTGGAGTCTCCAAAACCTTCTTGATGACCAAAGAGAGAGAATGGATGAGGGACATCTGCCTTCATCCCCAGAAGGGGCCCCCAGGGAAAAGGTGTAACTAGGCACCTTAGTTGTGTTTAAAGCAAAGAATATCCAGGACATCTGTGCTTCTCTGGGAGCATACTAACCGGGGTTGAGGGACATCTGCCTTCATCCCCAGAAGGGGCCCCCAGGGAAAAGGTGTAACTAGGCACCTTAGTTGCGTTTAAAGCAAAGAATATCCAGGACATCTGTGCTGCTCTGGGAGCATACTGACCGGGGTTCCCCTAGGTGGGGAACACAGCAGGCCTGTTTCCCTGGGGTTAAGGTAATCATCGAGTGGACTAACAGTCAAAAGACTGACCCAGATATTTCCAAGATGGCAGCATAGGCAAACAAAACAAAAAAACTGACCCAGGCCCTGCAATTAAATCGCTGTGTGACAGTGGGCAGCAAGTAAGTTGCCGGTTCCCTCTGGTTCTGTTTCCCCATCTGTAAAATGGGTGGGTATGTTGGGCTTAGGAACTCTGAGGCTCTGGGAGGCTTACCCAGTGACAGATGGTGGGGGCTGTGCCAGCCGGTTTTCAACACTGGAATAATAGACTCAATCAACCTTTCAAGCCGAGGAATGAATGGATTAAACTGCTGGAGGGTCCAGGTGCTGGAGATGCCAAACTACAAGAAGTTAGGCTTCTCAAGTCCTGAGGGGAGGTCGAAGGTCAAAGGTCGGGTTCCCGTCAGGTTAGAGAAAAACCGGAAGTCCCAGATCCGACCCACTCTGAGCCGGGGTCTCCAACCGCCTGACTAAACCTCCGGAGGCGGAGCTTCAGCACCGGGAGGGGGCGGAGTTTGGGGCCTCCCAATGGCAGCGCGGGTGTCCTTCCACCGCAGCCAATCAGCGCAGGGAGACGGTAAAATTTAAACCCCCCGGCCCCCCTCCTCTGCTGGGACCTGTCCCGAAAGCGTCTGCTGAAAGTGAGGCCGCTCGCCCCGCCCCCACCGGGGAGGAGGGGAGGAGGGCGGGCTTTCCCTCCCGAATTCGCCTATCATGTCCGGCGGCCTGAGGAGAGACGGGCTGTAGCGCCAATCAGGGCAGCAGCCGGAGCTCTGTGGAGCAGTTGGCTACGGTCGTTGCAACTTTTTTCGAAAGCTGCGTTTCCCGGGAGATCCTAAGCGGTGACAGACCCGGGCCATGGCTAGAGGTATTTGCCCAGGTGACCAGCGCCTGGGCGGCGGGCGTGTGGAGTCGCGCTGGAGGGAGGACCGGGGTGGCGGGAGCGGTGGTGGGGAGGTGCCCTCATGCTGGCTGCTCTGACTGAGCGCGGGGACAGGGTTGGGGGACGCTGCGGCACCTTCCTCGCCCCGCACCCTCTCCGCTTCTAAAGCCCCCAGAAGCCCTTCCCAACCCCGTGCCTCTGTTTCCTCTCTTCAAGTGTGGGCACCCGCTGGCCCGCCTCTCTATAGGATCCATATGTCAGAGCTCCTTGGAAACTAAAGCGCAGGGCACCTCCAGGGAATGGTTGTTACTGATGCCAAGAGTGGGGAGGAGGAGGCTGCGCCCGCTTCGGGCTCTCTCTGGTTGGGAAAGGAGGTGACCCCGAGGCGAGGGCATAGATCGGTAAGGCACATCGTGGGGGGCGCGTCGGAGTGGACACCGCAGCAGGCGCCTTCCTTTCCTCCTCACGCGGAGTCAGCTCTGCGCCGCCGGGGCAGGGACCGGGCCCCATTCGCCCACCTTGGGGTGAGACTTGTCCCCTGGCATCTCCCCGGGTCCCTTCGTCCCGCAGCTGGTTGGGACTCGTGCCCATCGGAGATGGCTTGGGTGGGGGTAGTACAGCCGCGGGAGGCGGTGTCCATGCCCGAAGTCCTTTGCACACTTAGTTTGCTGTCAGGACAGTAAGACCCACGTTATGCGGCAAAGTGATTTCCAACTGCTGGCCATTTTCAGCCGCTGTCTCCTTCAGGCACAAATTTGAGCGTGACGGTTGAGTAGAATTATTATTTTTAAAAAATAAGTTGAGGTTTTACATTTTTTTCAGAATTCCAAGGCATTACATTTTAGTAGCAATCTGCCTTAATGTAGTATTTTCCTTATAGCAGTAATAATGAATAAAATAAGGATTAATTCAGCAAATATTTATTGGGCCCCTTTGTTTTCAGGCCCTGCACCCAATTGCATCATTAATTCTCCCAGCATCCCTTTAGGGTCTTTTGGGACAAGGCTTACCCAGATTCTGATTAAGAAATTAGGCATAGTGAAACTTCAAGGTAAAGAGCTTCGTAACCCAAACCACAGAGAAAATTAAGACCTGTCTGAGTTCAAGGGAAGCAATATACATTCTTTATGGTAAAGTACCCTCAAATAGCAGAACTGGATTCAAATCCCAGCTCCATCATTACCTTAGCTGTGTAACCGTTAGGCAAGTGGTTTGTATCCCCTGAGCTTCAATTTGTATGTCGGTAAAATAGAAATAGTACCTTTTCATAAATTGTTGGTATGGTTAAATTTAATAATGCATTATTGTAGGTCTTACCACGTAGTAAACATTCAGTACGGGTTAACTGTTAGTTTGCTGTTGAATTCTATTTCTGTGAGACCCTGGGCAACACTACGAGTTTTTATTTCTACTAATGGGTGTATTTGTTGTGTACATATGAACACCTCCTGTACAGAGAAAGGAAAGGCTGTTTGGAAACTTTGGCTGAATGATTTGTGTTACATCTTCCAGATACTTCAGTGTTGAGAGCAGTAAGAGTGGGTACTAGACTTGGATTTTAATGTATCCTCTGCACTTAACTAAAATAGAGAACGCTATGGTCATGAGTATGTGTGTGGGGGGCGGGGGTTAAAATAGTATGTGAAGTGGATAAGATGATCTGAGCAGCTGCTTCCTGCTCCCAAACCATGATTCCCATGATATAATAGTTTGGCAACAAACTGCAAACCTTCTCTGCCCTGCAGACACTGTTTCAAATGGTCCCACCTGGGTGTCAAGAGTGTCACTTTATTTTATTTATTTATTTTTAAATTTTTTTAGCTGAGCCATCCTGTTACCTATTGGCAGCTCAGCAGCAGCTCAGCTTGGGCCAGGCATCGAACCGCTGTTGCTCAGAGCTCAAACTCTTGAGCGAGCTCTTAACCAACTGAGCCACTCGGCCGGCCCTAAGAGTGTCACTTTAGAACCCTCTTTCAGCTAGGCTAGTCTTCCTGGTGTTCCAGTGGGCAGAGTTATTGGACTGTGGGGGTTGCGGGGGTGGGGGGATGCCCTGAAGGATGCTAAAGCTGAGCTGATTTGGGAGGCTTTGTTCTGAGCAGTGTCCTGCCATTTAATCCTACCCAGTCTTATCCCTTCTAAGGGGAGGCAGCTACTTAAAGTGGTAGCCATTTGTTTATCTGGGATATTGGAACATGCTCTGGATGGATTATGGAATCCAAGGTTCTTGGTTTTTATCCATGAGGATGCTGAGGCCTAGACTGGGAAAGTGACTTGATCACAGAGCACCTCTGGGGCTGATGCAGGGAGAGAAACTCGATCCTTGCTCCCAGGCCATGACCGGAGCAGCAGGACCCAGATGCCCTGAGGTGTCTCGTTTGCATCTGACTTTGCACAAATACAGTCTTTTTGGCCTTGAGCCCTCAAACCCTGATGGCTACAGTTCAGTGACACAGGGCAGTGAACTATGCCAGACAAGACACCAGAGTGCCTACCTAGGACATTTCTAGTGGGGGCGGGATAGGAGACCCTGGGGACTTGCTAAACCTTTCTGCAATACCATTTGCTCCTCCCAACTGTAATTTCCTCATCTGTAAGGGGTGGGGGGAGGGTAGCGGCTGAGAGTGTAGATTCTGGGGTCAGTTGCCTGGAAATCTATTTCTAGTTCTGAGAACCTGGCCAACCTCCTCACTTCTCTGAGCCTGTTTCCTCATCTGTGGAAGAAATAATAATAATGTACCTTGTTAGGACTGTTGTGAGGTTTGAATGAGATAACGTATGCAAGAGAAGCAAGCACACAGCAAACTTCCCATTATAATCCTGGCTCTATCTCCCCAAGGCCTGTACCGTTCAAGTGCAGACCCCCTGGGTTTATCACTTTCTAGCTCTGTGGCCTTGGGCAAGCCCCTTCACCTCCCTTGAGCTTCAGTAGCCTCATCTTAAACAGGATTGCCAGCGAACCTGCCCGCCCCCCCCCATGGGCTTGTGGAGGAGTGGGGAGGATTAAATGCCCATAAAAGCACTCCGTGAGCACAGGCTCGGGCACACCGCTGCTCACTGTGCCTGGCACAGACGGGTCTCCCAAAATATCCGTGAGCCAGCGACAGAAGGAAGGAGCCTGGCGGGCGGCAGCCTGGTCTGTCATTATCATGTTTCCCACCCCTTCCTCGGCGAGTGGCTGAGGACGCGCGCGAGGGGGCGCGCCCGAGTCGGGATTCGTAGCGGCAGCGCGGCCCGCCCAGCCTCCCTCCCTCCTGAGGAGCCTCGCAGCACCGCCCCTGCCAGCCTCCCCCCCCCTCCCCCGCGCCGGGAGCCGGACGGTGGGCGGCGGCGGTGAGCGGGCGGGCCGCGGAGGACGCGCCGCCAGCGCCTCCCTCCCTGCGTCCTCGGTCCCGGGCCGGCCGGGGGTGCCGCGGCGCGCGGGTGCCGGGCGCTGCCTCGCAGGCCATGGGGGAAGGGGGCGCCGTGGGGCGCCGCCGGCCCTTCCCCGG